TCAGACTTGTGATCCTCAAAGGACGGTTGAAGGATGGACAAGTGGAAATAAGAACATTGATGATTGCATTAAAGAATTTCAATAAGACCACAGAATATGAGGATGTGATAGAGTGGATTCCTTTTAATAAATTAGACAATATCCAAAAGAGTGGTAATGAATTTTTAGCAACATGGTTGGATGGCATACGGACCTCTGTGAACGGATACAAAAAATCACGCACGCCACCATGTACAATTTGCCTTAAAACATTGAATAGCTTTCAGAATTCGGCAGATTTATTTGAAGAGGTAAAATAAAATCTAATTTATTTTTAGGGATGTTAGCCGGTACTTTGAGATCGAGCCCTAACCGATCCTGACAGATCCTTTCAAGGATTTCGTCCTTAAATCACGTGAATGCATAATACATTTATATAGGATCTAGATCCCGGGTCAAATCATTTGACAATACATAATTAAATTGATTGGATGAACACTTTCAGAAGAGCCAATTCAGGACCTGAATCCTGTATGAATGTATGGTGTTTTCACGTGATTTAAGGATTTGAGTCCAGGACGGTCTTAGAAGGTCCTAGGACTCGTAATTTAACATCCCCATTTATTTTATTGTATAGAACATTTATTTTGTGTACTTATAAACTATATGTATTTACATTTTTAATAAGTTTAAAAAATTTATGAAGGATTGTATGCTTAAGGTGTATGGACTAGCTTTAAACACAGCTACTAATGAGTATATGTTAGTATTTGACAAATTTCATTCCAAAAGAATTTATCAAAATGGAAAATGTAGACATTGTGAACGATATAACACATCACCAGATTGGTGCCGGACATGTGATCCTCAAAGAACGGCTGAGGGATGGACAAGCGGAAATGAAATTATTGATAATTATATTAAAGAATTTCGACTTAAGGCCACGAAATATGAGAACGTGATTGAATGGATTCCTTTTAATAGATTAGATGACGTACATAAGATTAGTGATGACAAATTTGGTTACAGATTTCAAGCAATTTGGTTAGATGGTAAACGATCAATTAACCGATTTATGTTAAGGTCGCGTACACCATCATATTCGGTTGAGCTTAAAGTTTTGTCTAATTCACAGAATTTGATAGATTTTTTGAAGGAAGTAAGTGCTATAATTAATTCATCTTCTGTCAAACAAACATTAATGCTATTTTTTATTTTATTAATTTTGAAAGTTTACAAAGCAAATGCAAATAGAAAGTGATACAAATGAAATATACGGAATAACGCAATTTACTACTGGTGAATATATGATGGTATTTGAAAGTACAATTAATAACAATGATAATAATGTGTTTGCTTCTAAAAGAAATTATTATTATGGCACTTGTACAACTTGTAATCGATTTAATACTTCAACCAATTGGTGTCAATCATGTGATCCTTATAGAATATCTCAGGAATGGACAAGTGGTAATAAAGATATTGATGATTGTATTAAAGAGTTTCAACTTAATGCTACTGAACATAGGAAAGCAGTTGAATGGATTCCGTTTGAAAAATTAAATGTTATAAAAGTGATTGGTAAAGGAGGATTTAGTGATGTATTTAGCTCGTTGGCAACAAAACACATCACAATCTATTAAGGTAGCACTCAAGACCTTATCTAGATCAGAAAAAAGTTCTATTGAGTTTCTAAAAGAAGTAAGTTAAACCCATAATTTAATTAGTCTATAACGTATAGTAACCCCGATTTAACAAAATTTATTTTTTATTAGTTTAGAAATCATATGTATTGTAGATTAAGTGGTAGCAGGCTTATAGTATATGGATTAACTCAAAATACAGAAACGGGAGAATATATGATGGTATTTCAATATGCTAATAAAGGAGATCTTCATAAATATCTAAAATCGAATTTTGAAGAGCTTACTTGGGAAGATAAATTATCAATATTAATTGATATTTCAAAGGATTTAATTAAAATTCATAAAGCTGGATACATCCATTGTGATATTCACTGCGGCAACATTTTGCAGCATAAGGAGGAATCATGGCTTGGTTCGTTAAAATCTTATATTGCAGATCTAGGAATATCCCGAAGGAATGAAGAATGCATTTTAAAAAATGGGATTTATGAAGTTATGCCTTATACTGCACCTGAGATTTTACTAAGTCAGAAATATACACCAGCAGCCGATATATATAGTTTTGGCGTTATTATGGCAGAGATGACTACCGGAATACGTCCATTTTATGGACGTTCATTTGATATTGAACTTGCATTAGAAATTTGTAGTGGAAAGAGACCTGATTTTGCTTTATATACTCCTAGCTGCTATATTGAATTAGCAAAATCATGCATGCATTCAGACCCGCAAAAACGACCTACTGTTGAAAAAATTCGTGATAAGCTTTCCGAATGGCATAGTCTTGATGAATCTGATGAATCTGACGAACTCGATGAATCTAACAAGCTGAATGAATTTGATGAATCTAATGAAAAGTTAGAAATAATTAGTGAATTTATGGCTGCTGATACGAGAATTCCAGAGCTTTCAATAACTTTAAAAGAGCATCCAGATATCATAGATCAATATACAAGTAAATTTATTAATACACACGATATTGCACAACAATATAAAGAAAGAAGCAACCAACTTGTTATATATGGTATGGGTGATTATATTACTACGATAACATTAAAATTATTGTATCATTTAATATTATATATATTTATTTTTATGTAGGTTCTATATCTATGATTAGTACTGAAATTCCGATTGACGTAACGGTAAGTCACAGATCGAAAAGCGAAAAACCGGCCAGGAGTCATATACTACATGTGTAAAGAAATAGTATCGAAAAAACGTACGATGAGAAGGTGTGACTTATTCGTTTAGAAACTAAAACTAACTAAATTAAAACACTCAATCCACTAATTCTACAATCCCAAGACTCTAAAGACTTCGAATTGGCCAGCAGAAAGAGGCGTGGAAAGACTTGGTCCGAGTCTCGAGGTCTTGTGGAGTCTTGCTGCGGCGTATCTGGCGACTAAGATAAGTATAAACCCAGATTATACTTTTAATGATTTTTGTTGTGTTTTGGCGGGAGCTATGTATAGTCTCTTCTTTAAACTTTGGATTGGGCAAATCCCGGGCTTCGATACAATCGTTAAGATTCTTAACGATTGTCACGTGAGTCACATGAAGTTACTTGAATATCTACTGGTGTGATCGGCTGTTTAATTTGATCTGAGATCCTTACGTCACAAGTAAGAATATTCTGCAGATCGGAGGCTGTATTTGGCTTAGCGCTAAAGGTTTTATATGCCACGAAGATCGACTCAATTGATTGATCGATTGTTACCCTATTTAGGAATAACAATGATTATATGTGTATGTTTAAGGGTTTCAATGGCTAAGCGATTCTTTTATTCTAACTATTCTTTTTTAAGAGTCGAGAAACTTAGAGACAAGGTTCTATGCTAAACTAGGGTACTTAGGGTCGATACTTCTACTCGGATTTCGAAGATCAAGACTCTTATTCGGGTTTATCAATTTTACAATTGGATCAAGGTTTAATTTCAATCAATTGTTTGGAATTAGGAAAAAGATAAGTATCAAACTACTGGAGTACTTCTACTATTTCGTAGTATTACTCAACTTGAGTTCTCAACTCCAAGTCTGTTTTATTTTTAGCGCGAAGTAGCTTCGCTTTTATACTTTTACAGTCTTAAGGAAATACAGGTTTAGATAAGTTACATTTAGCTGCGAAGAGCGACAAAGCTATCAAATTAAACATAGTGAAGAAGGTAAATAATGTGACTATATTCGCAAAAAGGGCTATAGCTACGAAGGCTAATATCTAAAATAAAGAAGCTATATTTAATAACATGACTTAAGTCACTAAAGCAGTTAAATCTAACCACACGAACCGGTTGAACAAATTCTATACCCGAAGTTAAGTAATCTATAATTTATATTGATAAAAATAGAATAAAATAGAAATATAATAACAAATATAAAAAAATATTTGTAGGGTCCTCTCACAACGATTGTGATTCGTGTAATGATCACGATCGTAACGGTGACGACGAGACGAAACGTGATCATCGACCGCAGTTTTCCGTACATGTGATCATCCGATCATCATCTTTGATCCGATTAGTCCGGAAAACGGAACTTAGAATATCCACATTGTTAATAACTATGTAAATAAGAAGAATGAATTATGTATATATTTATACTTATCCGTATAGCCCTTTAACGCTAATTATAAATTTATAAACTCACGCACTTAGTTTATTCTTCCTGTAAATTCCTATTTCTGCATACCGTATAGATCCGAAATAACGCACAGGGGCGTTATTTCGAATCTCGGCCCGAATTAAGCTTAATTTAGGCCGAAATTTGAAATTACACCCCTGCGCGTTATTTCGGGTCTATATAGTAATAACAAAATAAAATCTATTAGTTTTAATACGTATATATTCCTCCAACTTACCGAATTGATTTTGTACACTATGATTATTAATACTTAAAAGAAACTATATATATATATATTTATTTATACATATTAATATATTTAAAATATGTATAAAATGTGGTGCTGGTAAATCAATAAATCATCGATTCATAATGCTGCTTTGATACTTTCATATCTGGCAGCTAATTTAAAAATGAGTTTAATATATATTTATTAATATTATTTTAATATTATTACATAATATTACAATGCTTTAAATATTGTAATTATAATTTTTATTTGATTCCAAATAACTATTATTATGATATAAAGTTTAGATTTCATTTTGGCTTAGAAAAGGAATAGTTAGATGTGTTAATATTTATTCAAGAATTGGTATATATATAGATAAAAATAATATTAGATAAAAGCATAATATAAAATTTAAAGCTTTTTTTGATATTTAGATATATGTAATCTTTACAGTAGGTAATTTTTAACTATGTTATATAATATAAAAAAATAATAGTATTTCACAAAGCCAAAATTATCATTTTTCAAAGTGGTCCTTCTCTAATTTTAGTCTGAAAAGACATTCTAGCAATATTTCTTTATTTCTTCTGTCCAATTCTTTATCTACAAATATATTCAGTTTTGTTCTAAACTTGTAAGGATCAACTAAGATAATTCCTAATTCTTTTGCTCTTGATTTTGTATTGTTTATGCAATACATGCTTGTCATATTGATTCTATAAACATTTAAGGCTTTACATATTGCTAAAAATAAATTAACTTTGAATGCCTTAATCTCTTTATCTGTTTTATTTTGTTATTCATAAAATATAATAATGATATGTTTCTTATATTAAATTTATATAAAATCATTATTTTTTGATATTACAAAGTATTTATAATATCAGCTATTTTATAAAATCTATTGTAAGCAACAAATTCTTCATTTGAACACCCTTGTATAATAAGATCTCTAAATTCTTCTATATTTATTTTTTTGTATTTTATCCTAAAAAAAAAGTTAATATTTTGTTTTATTATATCTATATCTTAATCAACTACCCCAAGAACATATAGATAATTACTGCTATGAAATATTCACAGTTACAGTTTCACTCAACTGCAGTATAATTTACATCTAATTATACATTTAACAAAAAATATAAAGTGAGAAACCTTATCAGATCAATCTCTACTTCTAATAGCATTCCTCATATTCTTTATATTTTATATTCATTTTGAGATATTTGAAGTAGAATGTTAAAAATAAATATTAAAAATAAAGTGTTTAAATATAGTATTTAAAAGGTATTTTAGTATAGTGTTAAAAATAAAATATGTTTAAAATGTAATATTTATATTTGAAATAATATTTAAAAGTAAGTATTTGAATAAGAGAAAAATTATTATAAAAATTAATATTCATAAAAAAAAATTAGCAGTTATGAGTTAAACTATAAGTGTATTTTAAGTTAGCCTTTATTTTGGTTTTTTAAACATGTTATTATATCTAATATAGACTTTTTTTAGTAATTAATTAATATATTTATCTGAATATAGTAATATAAAAGTAATTAGGAGTCTTATTAAATTAGAGAGTTTTTTAAAGCAGAGTAGATTATATTATAATTACCAATCAAATTATTAAAATTTGATAACTTTGAAGTAGTCTAATAAAACAAATTGAGTAATATATATATATATATAATAAAAACTATAATAATATTAATATACATTAATAAATCTCTTTCCAACGATCATTTGTACCAAAAATCCAAACACATTTTTTGTAAAAAACACAATAGCACTTAGTAAAAAACGGAGACACACTACTAGCTATAAGTCAGCAGTTGTTATTTAGAGGTAGTTCTCATATGCTACTTGCTAACTTCTTCAGAGTATAACACTTACTGTTTGCACAGCACTTGTCATTTAGAAGTAGCTCTCATACGCTACTTGCCAACAAGCCCAGAGTCTATCACTTACCGAAAAGAAAGTATAGGTGCCCACCCCTTTCTTAGAAGAAAGTTAAGGAGTAGTTGAGTCTTTACATGGATATAACTACTTTCCTTGGATACAAGTGGTTTCTCCCTAGATGTTTTTCGCTTGGCTGGTCTTCTCCAAATTTTTCAACAAAAAGTGGGCGATTTGGCTTACCCTCTCCAAAAGATCAGCATTGTTTACCTCCCAAATTTGGACGTACTCAGGAATATAACCACATGCCTTGTTTATTAATAGATACGACACGCGACGTAATCTATAGATATGGGTTCTCCACGTGACTGGGATCGGGTCTCTGGCATAAGAGGTATCCGGAGGTGGCTGGTAGTCATATATTAAGTTCTTATATTGTGATCGAAATATACAAATGTTGCAGTTGTTATAAAATTTTTTCTTAAACCTGGTACAGGTTATAATAGTGCATTTTTTCTTCTTGTTTTGTTTTTTTTTATCTCGTTTCTTTATTCTATTTCTTGATAGAAGTAGTTCCCCCCTTTGTCAGCCCTCGAGCTTTTCTCTTTGTGTTTCTTTTTTTTATATCTCACTGTACCCTCCTTTTTTTTTCTTTAAAATGCCCTTTTGTTCTATATGTTTTTTTAGTTAGGTTTTTGTTTTGTTTTCTTGGTAGTATTAGTGGTTTTGTATAAGATCATCACTTTCTTTTACTCTCGGTAAAGAAAAGAAATATGAAGGGAAAAGCTTTGACGGGCTGACAAAGTTTATCTAACTTGTATACAGGTTAGTGCAACAAGTCGCATATGGGTACATTTATCGTAGCCGGATAATGTCAGACTCGCTATTGCAGTAACTCCCTGTTTGTAGTTATGAATGATACATGTATTGTTCGAGAGAGCTCAGCTCTCACCTAAATATAGTTGCAATAAATTGAGTACTAGCAAGATTGTCAAAGATTTAAAAAAAAAATATATATATATACATTAATAAATAACTATTTTTATTTGTTTTAAAAAGCTTACTATTCAAAATTTTATACTGTGAAATTGAAGACTAAGATATATATATTTTTTTAATAATTTTTGGCATTATATATAAGAAGAGATAATCTTCATAGTGCTAAAAATTTTTGTATAATAATTGAATACCTTGTAAATTAGTTAATCTTACTTTATCAATAGTATAATTAACCAAATGTTTATAAAAAAAAATTAGCTACAAAAAATATCTTACAACTACAAATTCAATAATTTAAGTTTATAAAATAATGTTTATCTCTATCTTATTAAACCAAAAAAGTGTTATTTGCTTTAAATATATAGTCATGTTCTCATATAATCATCTACTCTATAATTATATTATATAAATACCTCTTTCTATCACATTCTGTACTCAAGGATAAATTACTATTAAACTTATAAAAAACCACCTCTATATAAGCACAAATATATTATTAGATATTTTTTAAAAAGTTATTAAGTAAAAAAAAATATGATTATATGAAAGCATAACTGTATTTGATAAACTAAATAATTTAATTAAGAACAACATATATACAAATAATTTAACTGGGAGTTCATAAGCAAGCCAGAGAGTGATATAGTAAAATGTAACTTAGATTACTATATAAATTTACTATAGTGCGAATGTGGCCTGCATGAATCTAAAACTTTTTTTATACTAAGTTAATCACCCTTCTAAACTTAAAAGACTTTTGTAAAGCTTATCAAAATGTATCTAATGATAGTTAGAACATCAAAATCGGCCTGGTGGGTGCTGAGATATTTTTAAAAAACTTTTCTTTTACTATATAAATTTCTTTGCAAACAATAGTATTGTTTGTAAAGAAATTTAGATTGATATTTAGTATAGGTGGAAATATATAAATATTATAAGATTATTTAATGTAAAAATAATTATTTAAACTAATTTAAACAGATTTGAGAATAGTTAGGGTTAGGGTCATAATATAGTTTATAGTTAGCTTTGGGTTAGGGTTAGAGTTTTTTTATATTAAATAATCTTATAATCTTTATATATTCCCACCTATACTAAATAAGATCTGAAATTTATATAGTAAAAGAAAGATTTTTAAAGATATCTCAACATCCACCAGGCCGATTTTGATGTTCTAACTATTATTAGATGTGTTTTGATAAGCTTTACAAAAGTCTCTTAAGTTAAAAGGTTGATTAACTTAGTATAAAAAAAGTTTTAGATTCATGCAGGCCACATTTGCACTATAGTAAATTTATATAGTAATCTGAGTCATATCACTCTCTAGCTTACTCATGGACTTCCAATTAAAAAAGATAGTCTAATTGTGGTCTATTAAATCTGTAAAGATAACAATGCTTGAGAACTTTTCAATAGAATTTAACAAGCATATTAGTTTTGTATAGTAGAATTGTAATTTTTATTAAACAGGTCCAGAGTACTTATTTTGCTATTTTATACTATGACTACATATATATACTTAGTGCAAAATAAGCTTATTTCTAATGCAAAATTTATAAATTTTATAAACTATATTGCTTTAAATTTTATTAGCTACAGTCACACCTCTCTAAATATATACTCTTAGAACTATACTTTAATAATATGCATATAAAAAATAATAAAAAAAAGTGTGCTTATAGAGGTTAAGTATATATTTGGGCTAGTACTTGAGTTTGTATTTAGAAAAGTATATATTTATAGAAAGTATGCTTAGAGAGATTTAATTATATAAAAAATTGTTCTATAGTATTAATTAAAATTTTTAAATATACATTAAAATATTTCTTATTTTGTAAATATAATAAATATACAGCCAGATTTCTCTAAGTACACCTTCTATAAGTATACACACTCTCTAAATACATATTCAGGTGCTAGCCCAAATATATACTTAATCTCTATAAACACATTTTTCTTATTATTCTTTATATACATATTATTAAAGTGTAGTCTCAAGAGCATGTACTTAGAGAAATATATAACACACAAACTTATATATTTAAAATCAGATTTAAATAAATCAAATTTTACTATTGTATTATTTGGCTGAAATTAACTATAATAAATTTGTTTATAGCTTCTAAGTTTTTTACTAATAGCCTTTACTATATATAAATTATTAATAAATAAAAACATTTATATACAATACTTAACAAAAGTTTTTTGTACCTATATCTTCTCTTAAAAAGAATTTACAACCTCAAAATTTTAACAAAGTTAGTATATATATAAATTAAATTATATTTTTTTAGTAATTTTTTAATTGCTAGAAAAAGTTAAATAAAGCCAAATTTGAGATTTTTTTTAACAATTATTATAAAATACACCTATGGTGTTTATAATCAAATATAGTTGTTTTTAATAAAATTTATAGTTAGAGTATATTTTATAATTTTTTTTTTTTTAATTTTTTAACAGTTTTGTCGAAGCTCAAATACATATTATTACGACTATTAGACTAAAAACAAAGTTCTAATAATCACTAATTTAAAATTGCAAATTTGACATCATTCGGCTATATATTATATACCCAGATGCAACTTGTTGCACCAATCTACATGTAAGTCAGAAGATGTTGTCAGCTCTATCAAGAACTAAACCAAAATGGGGTTGACTCACTCTCAATCCATTTTACAACACCCTTCTCAAACAACTATTTTATCTCTGCTGTTCTCTCAATATTTGCTACAACATCAGCAAAAATAAATAGGCGTAAACCTCCGCAAGTTTTTACGCGAGCGTAAACTTACGCAAATTTACGATTAGTTCGGAGTA